ACCTATGTGTTTGACCAAATGTCTAGATGATTTAAAATTGAGCCCATCAAAAACTATTTAAATTTGAACACACTAGAAATTTTATGTACTTTTTTTATTATAAATATACTAAAAGTGGTATTTAATGGTTGTTATATAAATCATTTTAATATATTTGTAATGAATAAAAGTTTGAATGAATAATTTATATTGTTATTCATTATGTTTGCGACTTACGATACACGAACACATAACCACATACATATTTGCCAGAAGGCATCTTAATAATTTTCATAGATTATTCAAAACTATAATGAATTAACAAATCGTGAATAAAAAAAATCATGAAAATGTTTCATACACTGATAAAACGTTACAAACTGATAAAGACTAAAAAATAATATGAAAAACTTTTATGTTTGTTTAGATAAACAAAATTGATCCAACAAGTTCATCTTTTCTGTTTGGTCAAAATAATAATCAAACTTTATAAATCAATAAGCAAATATTTGGTCAAATTAATAATCAAACTTTATAAATCATTAGCAAATGAAAATCAATTTTAATTGAATGTAGAGTATGTTGTAAAATTGAACGTACAGTATGTTGTAAATCAATTCACACGGTCAAATTTGTGATAATTAAAAGTAACAAAATAAAAAAAAAAAACAAAAAGTTTAGATCACATGTGACATGTATCTCGCTCCGAGGAAACCTTTATCATAATTATAGCAGAATAATGGCTGCATCTAAATTTTTAATCTAATAAATGTGTAGAAAAATATGATGGATAAAGACCTCATCATAACGAGAAAACCTTATCTTATAGCAGAATATTGGCTGCATCTAATAGTTTTTTTATTTGTCAGCATTCTAGCTATACTAAGTAAATAATTATATCATTAAGAATATATTATTGTTATATTATCAAATTATAAAAAGATATTAAATCTATATTGTAAAAGAAATCATATAATTTTATAAAAATTTTACTGCAGTATTTAACAGTATTCTTTTTTATTATATAATATACAAAATAGTAATTAAATATTATATGGTGAACAAAATAAATAAAATTGTTACTTTCTCTTATATCAATGGATAAATTTATATGCTAAAATTAAATTTTTATTAGTATAAATGTTTTAGTGAGATAATATATAAATTATTTTACAAGCTAGCCCTAACATGCTCATATTTAATGTTCTGGCTAAAAAAACAACGTTGGCTAAAAGATGTGGAAAAAAAGCTTATGACTCTATTGTTTTTTTAGCTTAATGTTGATTAAAAGAGGTAGAAAATAGATAATAACCCTATTACTTTTTAGACTTAAACTGAAAAGACTGTGAAATAACTCATTTAATATCTCTGTCCCGTGCATCGCACGGGATACGTACAAGTTTTCTAAATATGGTGTGCAATTAATTATGAGTTGACTTTTCTTTCCACTAATTTTAGTAAATGTGATGGTTTTTTTTATATAAGTGTAGATTAGCAATGAGTACAGTAATTGCTGCTTAATTATTGTATGATCTGTATCTTGTTGATATCGAAAATCGGATGATCAACGGACCACTATAAGTCGAATATCTTGTAGTAATATGAAGAACAAAACTATTAAATTGGTATGTTTATTTCTTCTTTTTGGAGAGAAAAATGCTCTCTTTTGTTGTTGTTGGAGGAAGGAGAAGGAAGAATGAGGAGAGTCCCCTCTCTCCTCTCTCTTCTCACCTATATATACATGGTTAAAAAAGGTAGAAAATAATACATTATCTCCCCATGCGAAGTGACAACCGGGGGGGCCACTTATGTCTTTTGACGGCTTCGATTGATGTCTACTTTATCGAAGATCGTAGTATTTGTGTCATCTGATTACTCGGAATTCTCCTCAGCTCGGCAGAAGGCAAAGGCGCGTGGGGATGCAGTCGGCTTCTTAGGCGATTAGTCTTGAGAACCTGTTTATATATTTATTTATCACGTATTTACGGCACCTCGGTTATTGAGCCGTTCTTTATTATTTTTTATTATTATTTATTTAATCGGAGCCAAATTGGGTACCAACAAGAGGCCCCCGAGTTTAGGACATGTACTGTAAGGAACTGTTCTGAAGTCGCGTTTATTATTAACAATTTGGCAATTTTTCGCCTCAGAGTCTTTTGAGCTTTGAGCTCTTTTTATTGCGTTAGGATTTGCACGTAATGAGAGATATTGGTGAAATCGCAAATATATAAACGAGTGCGCGTGGCGGATAATTTTTGCGTGATTCAAGAGATCGATTTTTATCTTGTCCATTTTGACAAAAAATGGTAATTTCATCGCGAGTTAATGCGCAATTTTAAGGCGCTTTGGGGCCCTTGAGCGTTTTGTTGATTGTTTTAGGCTTTGGCCTGACGAATTTATGATTGTAACACTTTTTTTTCGATGAGTTGAGTCGGTATTTACCGAATGGGCGCTTTTTCTGAATCGCTATTGGATGGGGCCCGAGCGGCCTGGTCGGGTAATTTGGTACCCGTTTTTATGCATGAATTCTTTTGAATTGTTGACATGCGTGAGTTTAGAGCTCTTTTTCGGAGTGAGCTTTGAGCTCTTTATTTCTTACGAGATTGTGTGCTTTATTTCTTACGAGATTGTGGTCCTATCCGGCTCGATTTCGAATTAGTCGATTCCACTGTGGATCCGGATACCGGAAGGTCCCTGTACTAAAAAAAAAAAAA